CGGAGGGGGGGAGGGGAGAGGCAGGGGCACGAGGAGGGTGAGGAGGAGGAGGAGGAGGGGGAGGAGGAGGAGGAGGGGCATGATGTATGATAGTCATGAGGAGGAGGCAGAGGAAAAGGAGGAGGAGGAAGAAGAGGAAGGAGGAGGAGGAGGAAGAAAAAGGAGGAGGAGGAGGAAAAAGGGAAGGAGGGAGAGGATGATGGCGAACAGAGAGAGAGAGAGGGGGAGAGAAACAAAACAAAGTAGGAGAGAGAAGCCGATGGCTTATTCATACGTATGTATTTATACACAATCAGAGAAATAGAGAGAGAGAGAGAGGAACAAGCAAACAACAAATACAGACAGACCGACCGGCAGACAGACTGACAGGCAGAGAGAGAGAGAGTGTGTGTGAGAGAGAGAGGCCGGGGGGAGAGAAATATATGTCTATAGATATGCGTATATATATATATATATATAGAGAGAGAGGGAGAGAGAGAGAGAGAGCGGGTGGAGGACGCAGAGAAAGAGAGAGAGAGAGAGAGAGAGAGAGCGATAGCAAACATATGCACACATAAAGAAAGGGAGAGAGAGAGAGAGAGAGACATAAGTGACAGAGGCAGGGCAAGAGATACAACGAGAGAGAGAGAGAGAGCGAGAGAGAGAGAGGGAGAGAGAAAGGGAGATAGACATAATACATAATACAAATATCTATATATATACACAAGACTGCATTGGCGCTTCGCGCCATGCACCTTGGTCCTTCGAGCCGAGCATAATTTGCTATTCACTTCGTCCGCGTTGGCCTTGGAATGCGGCAAGCTAATCATGGGTTGCGTTCAGGGCCGAATCTCGGAGCGGCCTCTGCAATGTGGCGGCGAGAGAGCCGGAGACCTCGAAAGAACGGAAGATAATAAGAAAACCTGAAGTGTCGAACTTCGATCCAGGATCGTTTGCCTTCCTCGTTCGACTCTTGACCTTTGAACCTCGACCCTCGAACGTCAACCCACGACCTTCTTGGGAAGTGGACCGAATCCCAAGTTCACAACGGATTACCCGCAAGTGCGTTGCGCACACACATGTTCACTGTAGTTCGTTTCCTGGAGTCGAGTCTGTGGCCAGCAGCAGGATGCGTCAGGGAGAGGAAGTCTGTTTTGCGTCCCAGCGCGCTTGCATTCCGAATTCAGCGGTCGGCCGTCAGGCGCCGCCAGCAGCAGCGGCCTCGTCGACCTCGTGCTCGTCGCCGGCTGCCACGTTCTCCCAGTCACTCCCGGCCTCTGCGTCCTCTTCTGCTGCAGCGCCCCCGAGCCGAGCCAGCAATTGCGACTCTTCGCAGAAGGCGAACTGCGCGCCGTAATCCGTGAGGGTGGCCTGCTCTCAGAATGAATACACCCGCCGCACCACGTCGAGGTTGAACTTAGCAAGGGTCGCGGCTTTGTGCTCCTGGAAAGCCTTCACGCGCGCGGCTCCAGCCTGCCGGATCAGGACGGTCCACAGCTGGATGGCGGCGGCGTTCTGGGCGTGAAGCACGGCAACTTTGCGAACCGGTCGTCCGCGTTTCCCAGCTGCCCACACCGTGGTGCCCAATCGCTGGGACACCACGCAGCGCGGCCCGCCGCCTGCGAGCACGACCGCGGGAGTTTTCTTGTGCCGCCCGTGATCCAGGCACCGCGAAGAGGGCTGTCGAATGCGCAATGCATTCTTCACTCTGAAGCTTCTCCACCCAGGAGACGCCGCGAGCGCCCCTTCCATCTCCTCGGCGGACGCCGCGAACAGGGCCGACACCATGCCGCCTTTGTGGCCGAGCTCCGAGAGCGCGCTCAGGAAGCATCTGCTGTTGGCGGCAATTTTTCTGAGCTCTCGCGCGGCTTTCGCCGCGTGGAGCTTGGCGAGTCGGTGTGGCGGGATGTAATCGTACTGGTCGGCTTTGTGCAAACGGAAATACACGGATCGAGGCGACGTACGAGCGCCGCCCGCAGAATCGAGAATGGCAGCAACCTCTAGAATGCCTTCGTCCCAATCAGGCCGCGGAGCAGCGTCGGGGCAGCGTGACGTAGTGGTGCTCAACTTGTGGATGGCCGCCATGTACGGGTTCTTATGGAGGACGTGGCGCTCGAGGGCACAGACAATGTTGGGTTTCAACTGCAAGCGCTCCGCCGTTTGCGACCGAAGTTGGGGGTCGACGGCAATGTATTGCACGGCGTTGGCCCCCTCTGGCGTCCATGTTTTCCTGTACATCGTCCCGTGAATGCGCATGAAGGAAGGTTTGTTGGGCGTAAAACTGGTTTCCCGCTCTGCAGTGCTGGACTGGATGTCGTGCACGGCGAGCCCGAAGAAGTTGTTGTAAGCCCGGGAGTGGGCGTTGAATCCGTCGCAGCGGTACGTTTGCAGCAGCGCAGGCCCAGGCGCCGCGAAGTATCTCGTGAAATCGATCTTGTGCTTGCCAAACTGACAGCAGAAGCCCGCGTATTCCCTGGAGAATCGGGCGACGCCACAGTGAGCGCAAATGCAATCCCGAGGCCCCAATGTTATGGATTGAAGGGCCGCAGGCGTGCGACATACATGGGCGGGCTTGATGCAGGACGAGCACACCCGCGCACGGCTGGGCGCTTTGAGCTGGCTGGCCGTGTAGTGAGTCTTATCTTGGAGTTCCCCGCAGCGCGAGCAAGAGAGGAGCTCTTGTTTGGGGCGACCGCCGCGAGTCTGCGCTGATGAGGTACAGGTACCGCAAGCACGGGCGTGAGCGGGCTTTCCCAGCATAGTCTTGCTAAAGAGCGTTCGGTCTCGAAGCTCCCCGCAGCGAGCGCATTGAAAGGTCTCTTGTTTGGGCGTTGCTCTTGATTGCGTTTCCCGTATGCGGGCGCACGATATGCAGGCCCGATTGGATTGCAGCAGTTGGGTAGGAGAGTAAGCGTTTGAAGGAAGACAGTGTCCACAATCGAAGCAGGTGAATACCGACATGCTGGAGGTGGTATGCGAGTGTCGGTACGGGAAAAAGTTGAAGCCGAAGGCTACGGATGCATGTGCACAACGAGCGTGAAGGTAAAAGAACACGGGCTGAGCGGTAAGAGATACGCACGTGGGACACCGACATCGACATAATGCAGGTTTGGCGACGCACGTGCCGCACGGGAATGTCGCGAAACTGGGATTCGTAGGTTCTGGGCCCTCTGGGAGCTCTTTTGCATTGTCAGGGGCCCTGCTGGGCCGTTGCGAAACTGTGGGATTTGAGGGGCGACTTCCATGGCCCTGTGGCGTATCTCTTGGGAGCCTTTTCGGGGCTTCTGGAACTCCTTGAGGACAATCTTGGAGCTCTCTTGGGCAGTCTTGGGGCCCTCTCGATTAGCTTGAAGCTATCTGGAGCGCATGTTGGGTTGTTGGGTGGTGGTTCTTAGGTGTCAGGAGTGTTCGTGGGGATCGCGTGATACGCCTCTCGGGCGTTTCCAGGAAGCTGCTGTGAAGCCTGTTGGGAAGCGTTTTGAAGCCTCATGGGGTCTTTTCGGGGCGTCTTAGAGGCCGATTGGAACCCCTCGGGGCCTCGTGGATGTGTGTTGGGGCGCCTCTTGGGGGTGTTCTTGGGCCTTCTTGGCCCCCCCCGATTGTAAAAATATTAAAAAGGGAATATATATATATATATAGAGAGAGATATAGAGATAGATAGAAGGAGCGCGAGAAAGAGAGATAGAGAGAGAGAGAGAGCGAGGGAGGAGGAGGAGGAGGAGGAGGAAGAGGAGAAGGAGGAGAGGAGGAGGAGAAGACAACTCAGGGAGAACCATGATGAAGGAGGAAGTGAGGGAGGGGAGGAAAGATGGCGCAAGGGACGGGGACAAGGCGTGGCAATATTTGGCCTTTAATCCCTTCCTCCTCCTCCTCCTGACTGGTGCCAAAACGATTTGTGCCGTGGAGCCCGCACTAGCTTCCGTCATGAGAAAGGGTGAAGAAACTTACCCCAACAACCTCCGTTCTGGACGTTGCTGCTCTCCATCCTGGATGCTGCTTCTCCATTCTGGAGGGCTGGGAGCCTCTGGGATGGACGAAGAGGAAGAGGATAGAGAGGAGGAGGAGGAAGAGGAGGAGAAGGAGGAGGAGGAGGATTCTGGATTCTGGATTCTGGATTCTGGATCTGGCGCGCCACGAGACCGGCGCGTCCCACGAAGACGAAAGAGGAGGAGGAGCAGGAGGAGGAGGAGGAGGACGAAAAAGAGGAGGAGAAGGGCAAAGAGGACGAGGAGGAGGAGGAGGAGGAGGAGGAGGAGGAGGATTTGGGAAACACTTCCTTGCCTGGTGGGCATTGTTTTCTCTGATTTCCGGTATCGTTCGTTACTTGTGGGGGGGAGGGGATGCGCGGCGATCGCGACAGTACGCGCGCGAGCACCAGCATGGGGGGGGTCCAAGCCCCCCCCATACGTACGATCGTTACCCTTGCCAGGGGAGGGGGGGAGGCTCCGGTCCGAGCAGCGACCGTTGCGCGCCCGAAAAACGATCTCTTGCGGACGCGTGGTCGGCGCCTGCCACGTGACGATCTGGATCCCCCTCCTTCTCGACGAAAATCTGGGCCAGGAGAAGGCGCGAAACCACTCTGGCAACCGACAGCTTCCAAACAGCGGACTCGGCGCCGAGCCACCCCAACCCCCTTCCTCTACAAGCCTCGTCAAAAATATGCAGAAGTGCCATCGAATGTCGCCAGGATCCGCACCTTCGGATGCTTGTCAGAAAACGCCTTTCGTCAGCACTGCGTGGGGGAATGCCAAATTCTGGGCCCCCCCGCGTGCAGGTGGCATGGCCGGTGCCGGCATTGGACTACAGCGCTGTCCTTACGAGTAAAGGCCTCCAGAGTCTTCTGGCTCTGTTCGGCGGGGTCCACCTCGCCATCGCTCGGACGTCCATTCCCTGTGCTTTTTCCGATTTCGTGCGTGGCTTTTTCGCCAAATGATCAAGGATGCTGCTCGATGGTCCTCGCCCAAGGAGAAATGCACACGTCCGAGCGATGCCAGGTCACAGGACCTCCGAAAGGGCCCCGCGGTGCCGCGCTGGGCGCGGCCTCGGCGGCCTCCGCGCCCCAGGCGCCCGAGGCGCTGCTGTAGCCCACGTCGGCGCCTCGGCCCGGAGCCGCGGCGGCCCGGGGGCCGCCGGCCGGGGGCCGGCCCCCTGCCTAGAGAGACGCCTGGCGCGCGGGTGTGCCGCTGCCGCTGCCCCCGCCCCCTGCTCGACACACCCTCCCCGTCCCCTCCAGTGAGCAGCACAGCCTTCGCATCCAGGCGTGGTGCTGAGCAGGGAGAGGGAAATATGCGACAGCCGATCTCAGACGGTAACGTGTCACTGCCTGGCCACCGCTCGGGCGTCCATTTCCCGTGCATATTTCGGTTCTGTGCGTGGCTTTTTTGCCAAATGATCAGGGATGCTCCTCGATGGTCCTCGCCGAGGGAAAAATGCACACGTCCGAGCGATGCCGAGTCACAAGGAGGCGGGTAGCCGAGGGAGGGGGGCACGCGTAACAAGGCCATGTAATAAAGCGGGGCAGCCCCATGCAATAAAGGAGCCCCATGTAGTAAGAGGGATGTGGTGTAGCAAGCCCCGCGTAACAAGGCCCATGTAAGCTTCAGTGAGCCCCATGAAAGAAGCCCCATGTGAGCCTGTAATTGAATATGACAATAAAAATGCAAGCTCCATAAGGATGGATCCTAGGTGCCGAACGCTTGTGGGCTAGGTGCCGAATAGCGCGGTTAGAGAATCACGGCGCCACGATGCCCCGCAGGATCTCGGCTCCGAACTTGGCGCCCGGGGGCGCCCCGCTGCACTCGGGGCATCTCGGGGCCAGCCCCGGCTGATCGCACCCTGCAGAGAAGCCCCGAGCCGCCGACTTTCCGATCGAGAGAGGTTGACCGACGAAGGCCCACGAGGCCACACGGCGACCCTGGCGACCAGGCCCAATCTCTCTCGAGACACGACGGGTGACGATGCAAGGGCCGCAGACAGCCGACCCAGGCCTCCAGAGCCAGGGGGGCGCACGAGGGGACTCATGGGCACGGGGTCCGGCAGCCGAGCCATACCCCGAGGCTCACGACGGGCCCCGAGAACTGCACCAGCCGAGTCAGGCCGCGAATGGCCGTGAGCCCATGGAAGGGCACGCGGTGCCCATAAGGTTCAGTCGGGCCTGCCCCTCTACAGGGGGACAATTCAAAAATAGTCAGAAAATAGTCTGGGGACTATTTTTTGAATATCTTTTGACCATTTTGGAATGTTTTTGGTTAAAAACATATTTTTATGTTTCGTCGAAAATCCCCCTGTAGGGGGACACGCCCGACTTCACCATAAGGACAAGGGCCCGATTCGGCTTCAGGCCCGTTTCGGCTTCAGGCCCGTGGCGGCCTCGGCCCGTTTCGGCCTCAGCTCGTTTCGGCTCTGGCGCGTTTCGGCTCGGCTCGCTTCGGCTCCGCCCGGGTCGGCCTCGGCGCGTCTCGGCTCCCGCCCGTCTCGGCACCGCCCGCTTCGGCTTCAGCAAGGTTCGGCCTCGGCCCATGTCGGCTTCCTGGCCCAGGCGCGAGCGCGAACCTGAGAGCCGAGACGGGCAGAAGCGGAAACGGGCTGGAATCGAAGCGGGCGCCGAACCGGGTCGGAGCCAAAACAGCCTGGGACGAAACGGACCAGAGCCGAAACGGGCTGGGACGAAGCGCGCCGAAGCCGAAACGAGCGGATAGAGCCGAAACGGGCCGGAGCCGAAACGGTATGCGGGGCCCGTTTCGGCCCGTGGCACCTCGAAGACGAAACGGGCTCGGTAGCCTCAACGGGGCTCGGGCCCCTGTGGAGGAGGAGGTACCCCTCACCATCACTCGGCGGTGGACAAACCTCCCTTCAATAAACCACCCTTTAGTGAAAACGGCCTGGGACCGAAAGTGAAAACAGCCTGGGACCGAAACCGACGGACCTGGACCCGCAAAAATGACGGCCGCGACGCCCTCTCGCGAACCGAAAACGGCCAATCCGCTGATCGACGTGTCAGGGTAAGAGGTCTGTCCACCCCCGAATCACCCTCATCCTGGCTCCCACTCCCCCGTCGCATTCGTTTGCCTCCGCGAGGACGGGCAAAGGCGGGGGGAAGAGAACAAGGGAAGCGGAGAGGGCGGAGGATGAGCGGAAAGGAATTTCTGGAGTGGAAGGGGGCAATGTCTACCTTGCAAATCCTGGGCGCTGTCTACGTTACAAATTTATAGAGTGGAATTTCTGGTGTAATTTCATCCTGGCAATGTCTACCTTCCAAATCCATCGGCCGAGGCCACCTTAGTTTCTCTGGCTTGGCACCCAGCACGCCTGTGGAAAGTGATGAGGGGGCAAGGAGGGGTGACTACCACTAACTGGGTGTCCCATGCAATCGCTCGTCAGTTGCATAACACAAGTGGCGGAGTAGGTGCCACGACGAATGCAACAAGTCATCGGCAGACAGCAAAACCTACACAAACCATCGCATAACGAAGCCGAAACGAACAAGAGCCGTCGAAACAGGCCGAAGCCGAAACAGGCCGAAACCGAAACAGGTCGAAGCCGAAACGGGCCAGGACGAAAAGGGCTGGGACGAAACAGAGGGCTGAGACGAAACGGACCAGAGCCGAAGCGCGCCGGGACGAAACGGGTCAGAGTTGAAACCTGCTGGGACGAAACGGACCAAAGTCAAAACGCGCTGGTGACGAAACGGGCAGAGGCCAAAACGGGCCGAAGCCGAATCAGGCCGATGCCAGAGCCTAAACCTGCGGAACCTGGAACGGGCCGATGTCACCGGGAGCCGAAACTTGCGAGAATTGGAACGGCCGAAGCCGAAACGGGCAAGAGCCAAAACTGGCCGACGCCGAAAGGCGCCGGGACGAAACGGACCAAAGCCGAAACGCGCCAGGACGAAACGGGCCGAAGACGAAACGCGCCGGGACGGAACGGGCTGGGACGAAACAGGCCCGAGCCGAAACGCGCCAGGACGAAACGGGCCATGAGCTGAAACGGGCCGGAGCCGAAGCGGGCCGAAGCCGAATCGGGCAGATGCCACTGGCAACCGAAACTTGCCAGAGCCAAAACGGGCCGAAGCCGAAACGGGCCAGAGCCGGAACGCGCCGAAGCCGAGAGGCCCAGACTCATGCGTGAAGAAACTAGACGGTCAAGACGAGATGCGGAAGTGTCCCGCCAAGGGCTGGGTTTTGACGGCGGGGGGCGGGGCGGGGGGGGCGAGGGGGCCTTGCACAGGGAGGAGGAGGAGAAGGAGGAGGAGGAGGACGAGGAGGAGAAGGAGGATGAGAAGGAGGAGAAGGAGGACCAGTGCAAACCCAACATTCATCTACGATGTTGCCTCCAAATTGCCTCTCATAGGCCTCCACATGTTTGTCCTCACTGAAGGAAATGCCCCGTTGGAACAGAACCGTCCGAAAATGCTGAACCGTGCCCAAACCGTGCGAAAACGAAGCGAATCAACGTTAGTCTTGCGTCCTGGCGATCCTGAATCGGGCACTCCTGGAACTTCAACACCGCGAATCAACGCGACTGTTGCGCCCTGACAGCCCTGCCTCGTGCCAGAACAAAATGTATGGGACGTCAGCTGCAAGAATCCTTGAAGCTGTTGTCAACTCTTGAGACCAATGCGCGCGGCGATTAGGCGAGAGAAAGGAGCCGCCCTTCATCCGCAAAACTCTTGGAAAGGTTTAAAGCGAATGTGTGCGGCGCTGATGCGAGGGCCATATTTTGAAAACGGTGGCCTGCCCTCTATCCGTGAAGCTCTTTCCGAATTTTGAAGCGAATGTGCGCGGCGCCATAGCGAGAACCACGTGTTGAAAACCGACCGCCCTCTATCCTTGAAACTGTTGCAAGTTATAATATTACGGATCATAAATGGTGGGGAAGTCTCAAGCGAAGGGCCCGCCCGCCCTACTGACATGTCTCGGGGTGAGACCGGAAGGATTTCTTTATAAAGGAAAAGGAATCTAGGAGGAGGAGGAGGAGGAGGAGGAGGAGGAGGAGAGGAGGAGGAGGAGGATGAGGAGGAGGAGGAGGAGGAAGAGGAGGAGGACCACCAGGAACCCCGTCCTCTGCAGCCCCCGCAGCTGAAGCTGGCCCAGCGCAGAGAGAAGCACCAGGAGCCTCCCCCCCCCGAGGGTACCCGCCCAGGGCGGGGGCCCCGAGGGCGGGGGCCTCGAGGGCGGGAGCCCCGAGGGCGGCGGCGGGCGCGGAGGAACCTCCTCCCCGAGGGCGGGGGCCTCGAGGGCGAGCGCGGAGGAGGGCGGGGGCCTCGAGGGCGGCGGCGCCGAGCGGACACGACGGCCGCCCCGGCACGCCGCGCCAGCGGCCTCCGAGCGTCGAGCCGTCCGGCTGGGCCCGTCCGAGGGCGGCGCGCGAGGCCGCGGGTCGGCTCTCGAAGGTGGTGGCGGCGGCCTCCGCCTCCGC